TATATAAATTTCAAAGAGATTAAGTAAATAATTTATCTATTTTAAATATAGAATTTCTAAGGCCCAGTTTCCCAATTCACGGTTAACTTTTAACCGAGATTCAACTTGTTTCTCATCTCTCTCCAATTTTAGAACTGGAAAGAAATAATGAATAAGTTGAAAAGTTCAGTTAAGAGTTAACTGTACGTTATGAAACTGAGTTTAAATCTAAAATTTATTGAAATAAATTTCTAAAGAAAAGTTGCCCAAATCTGTAAGGTCCAAAGATTATTATATTAAAGATTTTCGTACGTATAAATTGCAGGATAAGTGTCTACCTATAGCAATGACCAGGTCGAGTTCTACCGGCTCTGCCGGCACGCTGAGTGGCCGCTGCTTTGCTAGCATAGCCAATATGATATGTGCTTACACCTGTCACTTTATCGTACAGTCTAGTTTTACAACGTCCACTATCTACAACATATCTAATATTAGGAATCGTCAGCGAAGTTTCCGCAACATTAGTAGATACCACGCACAAGCGACATCCTTCTGGTGGTGGCTCAAACACCTAAAATCATTAAAACAAAAATATTTCATTATAAAAAGTCTATTATTTTATTTTTTTATTTTATTACAAAGACTTGTTAATATCAAAAGAATTATAGTTAATTTATTAAACTGTATATTTACTCTGGCTTGTTTGTGCCCGGATAAGAGAGAATAAAGGGGTAAGACCCATAATGGTTGTGCGTTTGTTAGTCCTTTGAAATCAATTACATCTTCATCCTCATCTTCATCTTCGTCCCAGTTGTCTTCGTCATCCTGTACATTGATCAAATCTTCATGCGTGTCATCAGTAGGACTTATTGAATAACTAAACATAAATATTTTTATGATAAATTTGAGAAACATTGTGGAAGAGTAAAATAATTGTAGTTTGAATGTACATACTCATCAAGATTAATAGTTGGAAATATAATTTGTTTCTTTTGTCTCTGTTTATTACGGCGTAAAGCTTCCTCAGCGTCGAAATCGTCATCAGAATTGTCTTCGGAATCATCTTTTTCGCTGTGTTCTTTATCCAGCGCTTCTGGCGCTTCATTTTTTTCGGAATCTTTCACCACTTTAATTTGGGGTTTATTCTTTTTCAATGGAAACGATTTGCGTAATTTACGCACAACTGTATGCACTTCTTGCTGACCTGCAACAAATAAATAGTTAAAACTACAGAGATTTGACTGTGATAATAATTTATGAAAATAGAGAAGTTTCACAAGGATTTTTTACCCGTTAAAAATATTAATATACCGCCTTCTGGAAGGCGAGTATGTATCTTTATTGCTTTTTGCAATGCTTCATTGACATAATCCTTGCTTGTTATTCTATTAAAATGTATCTTTACAGGAAATTGTCGTGCTTTGACCTCAATTATCGGCGGTTTTATCTTGAACAGCCTGGTGTTCTTTACGAATTCTTCCACGGACAGTGTAGCTGACATAATTATCAACTTCAAAGGATTACCGCGTTTCTTGCGAAGCGGTACAATTCTCGATAATAAACCAATCAGGATATCAGTATACACACTGCGTTCGTGTGCTTCATCAAGTATAATTACTGAATATTTTGTTAACAGGAAATCCTACAAATAAAAGAAGATCAATTTAAGTATAACATGAAATATAATAATTATGTAATGTAATAATTATATAATAATAATATAATAAAATAAATTATATTACAAAATTCAATTTATTACTCACACTTTGAACTTCTTTCAGTAAAACACCATCGGTCATGAATTTGATTTTCGTTTCTTCCGTAACATTTCCTTCAAAACGAATCAAATATGAAACTTCCTTTTCAGAAAGATTCAGTTCTTCAGTTACACGCTTGCTCATCGACATTGCTGCCACTCTTCTTGGTTCAGTTATTCCGATCAATTTATTTTGAGCGTATCCAGCCTCATATAAAAATTGAGGCACTTGCGTTGTTTTCCCTACGAGAATTGAATAATTAAAAAGAAAAATAATATAAAAAATTGTTTTTAGCCCAATATTATCGTTATAATCTAAGAAATTAAGACTTTGATATCACTACCTATCTATTAATTATAATTTTACACACCACTTCCAGTCTCTCCAGTAATTATAACTATTGGATTCTCATTTATCGTTTCAACTATAACTTGTTCTTCCGCAACGACAGGTAGTTTCAATCTAGCTGCTTGTATCTCAGATTTTCTGTTTACAGGTATAAAAACAGCAGGTGTGTGAATTTTGAGAACATTTTGCTGTTGTATTTCCACTGACTGTTTAGATTCCTGTTTGTTGTTTGATTTAGTTGAAATTGTTTCTTTGTCTATATCTTTGGTAAGATTCTTCTCATTTTCTTTTTCATTAATTTCGGTCTTTTCATTTGATACATTAGAAGCAGTATTATCAAGAACATGTTCTTCATTTTCCTCTTCATTGTTACTGTCATCTTCATCACTACTATCACTAGACTGAAAATAAATATTGTTTGATTACTTGTATAATTTTCAAATTTTTCATTGTTACTTCAAATCATCTTCAAACTTACTTCAAATCCAACTATGTTTGGATCAAGTTTAGCTTCGTCTTGTTTTATATTATTTAGAATAGCTAATCTTTTCTTTTTGCTCATTTTAATAGAGTTTGTAGTTATTTTTGTCGAATCACTTTCTTCTTCATCATCTGCTTTGCGTTTTAATTTTTCAATTGGTGTCTCAAGCTCTCGAAAATGACGCTTTAAGCCCTTGTTTTGTAAGGATGTTAGACTCACATATTGTTTTAGTTCGGCAGGAGTTGCTTGCACTTTTGCCAAGTCTTCCAACAATGCTGCTCTCTGCAAAATAAATATCATATTTTAAATGAAGATTTTATGTTATGTTTATATAAAACATAAGTTTTAAATACCTGTAACTTTTTTTTCTTTCGTTCAACTACTTTTTCTAATTGTTTTCTACGTTTCTTTGATAACAATCGAGTAGTTGCTACTTTCTTATCTATGTTTTTCGTTTTTCTCTTTTGAGAGGGCAAGACAAGTGCGTTGCAATTGTCATAATCCTCGGCGCGATGCTGAATGTCTAATACAATCTGGAACATGTATTTAATATGCAATATATTTAAAGTAACAACAAATGATTTTAATAAATATTTTGAGCAATAATAGTATATAATACAATCATATAAATATAATAATTTATCTTTTTCATAAAGAAGCGCAAAACAGATATAATAGTAATAAATTTACCTCTTTAGTGGTGGAATTATCAACATCGATATTTGCGACAGCTCTTGACTTCCAATTATAACCTTTTTTCCCCATTGTTAAGAATTGACAAAGTATTTCAATTTAACTTCGAATTTTAATAAAAATACAGTCATTCGTCCTGAAAATTAAAATCTTGAAAAATTAAAATAATCCCTTTTTTAGGTTAAATTCTTAATTCTTAAGAAACGTGGTTTTTAGGTTGGAACAGAATAAAGCCGAAAACGCAATGAAAGCATAGGCAATAAGAACAGAGAATAAGAAAATGCAACCTATCAGAAAGCGTCCATTCTAATATATATGGTTTCTGATAGGTTGAAATTTATTTCCTCTTCCTATTGCAAGTATTTTTCATTATGTTTCTAGCTTAAGGATACATTCTGGCGTAAAATTTTCAAAAAAATCGATTTTTTATTGCATATTTCAATTGTATAATATTTCAAGAATATTGTCAAAATTTTAGAAAGAAATTCGACGACGAATTAATTAAGATTTTATAACCAAAAATTTGTTTTTAAAATTTTAAAAAGAAAATTGAAGAATTAACGATTCTACAACCAAAAGTTCTTTTTTTATAACCAAATGTTTGAGGAAGTTGAAGACTTACTTGGGCTAGGAATCACTGATTAACGGTAAATAGATTAATTATAATTTTATTTAAAAAAAAATCTGTAATACTTTAAACACTTTAAACACGTTTTTCTCGAAAAACATTGTTGTTTGAGCGATTGATACCATTTCGAAAAAACTAACTGATCAATTATAACATTCTTGCGGCGTTGTATTCGTAAATTGACTAGCTATAAATCAGAAAATCGGTTTCATTAAAAATTAAATTTTTTACCCAACTTTTTTGAGCGAAAAAAAAATAATTTTCTAAAAATATGTGTCAACTCACGAATTTTCAATGTTTTTCAATAAGTCTGGTTTACGCGATAGTCACGCAAATAAATTTTAAGAAAAAATTTTGTTTTTTTATTTCGGACTATTGATTCTCAAGATATCATGTCAATTTGGTCATTTCATTTTTTCAACGCTGCGCCTTTCAACTAAACTTTCTTGGAATTTTGGAATAAAAATATTGCTGTAAAAATTTTTTTCACATGTTTATTAATAAATAAAAAATTAGAATCGTACATTTTATAGTTTTCTTTAAGAAAAATTCCAAAAAAGGTCTTATTTTTAGTGTGATTACACTAGAACATATCCTTAAGATTATACAAAAAGTAAGCTGTAATTTAAATTTTAAGGCTAATATGTTTGTCGTATCGGCAAAAATAATAGATAAATGTAATATTAGTCTAAAACTTTGTGTCCATAATACTAGAAATCGATTCGATGACACAAAGATGAAGAAAAAATTGACCAATCGCAATGGCTGTGTTCAGCAGAACGTTATTTTGCAACTCTTGGAAGTTTTTTTCGCGCTGATTGGATTATATTTTTAGATCTAGGAGACTGATTCCATCTCAGCAGACAATCATCAAAACGGTTGCAAAATTGTTAAGTTCTACTGAACGCAGTCAATGGTCATGTGATCAAATTATTTAAATGTGATTTATTAATTCTTTCTCTATCTAAGATCTCGACTGATTTCTAGCCTCGTGGACATCGGACTTAGGATTTTAATAAGTCTATTTATGTTAGAAGCGGCACACTTGAAAAATTACTAGGAACAAGCCTATGTTCAATTGCACACACCACTCACATCGGCTTGTTCCTAGTAATTTTTCACTGTTTCACCAATGAAATTATATTGGGTTGTCCGAAAAGTTCGTGCCGCAAAAGATTTAAATTTAATAAATGTATACTAAAATTTAAATCTTCTGCGTTTCAATTTCCCTTTAAAATCGATAAACTTTCCGGACAACCCAACATTATTTTAATTTAGCCAATTAATGATGTGGACAATTGATGTACACTTGTTCACATTGCTTAAAATCGCCAAAAACGTTTACACTTAAAATAAAATAAATAAGATAAATGTATTCGGGCGTCAAAGAGAAAAAAAGCGAAGATTCTTAGTGAAAAAAGTGGAAGCAATGCGAACGTATTATTAATGCGAGCATGCGCTATGATAGAAATACATATTAGGCGAGTTCAAAGATATGTTCCGTTTCACGCATGATGCATTTTATTTTTCTTTAATAAACGATAAGAATAAAATCATTTATCTTGTGCATTATGTGTAAAACGGAAAACAGACTTCTAAATCAGCAAAGCAACTAAAGGCCAGTTTTACCAACGCCGATTACTTGATTGGCCGATTAAGGAATTAATTATACTGATTGTAACCATATTCCGTAATTTGCAAGAATTGATTCAACTGGTTGAAATTTTTCTTATGGATAAGTTTACTACTATATCTATTTCCGTCAGATTAAATCTAAAGCAGTATCCTGATTGGCTCATCGGCTTAAGTTTGCTTTACGCTTATTGTAACAGGAATTTTGTCTGCCCTAATTATTTGGTAGCCCTAATTACAGTCGAGTATTTCCCTCTCATTCGAATAAAAGGGATACGGCATACAGTTATGGCCAATATAAATGATTCCTAATCGATGTTGGCAAAATCAACTCTAGCTCTGCTCACTGACAATTAAACATGATTGGTTTGATCCACAAATATAAGAACCAATCATACTCATTTGCTCGTCGAGCAGACCTAGCCGCTTTGCCGACTTAAAGTCACCCTAACTTGCCCTTAGTGAACTAGGGATGGGCTATTGCACCGAAAATATTGCATCGAAATTGTCGATATTACATCAATATGTATCACTGATTTAAATACCGATACAACTAAATATCAGTGAACAAAATATCACAATATTGGCAATCACGAATCATGTTTTTTAGCAAAAAATTATAACACGTTCTTTGTATAATTGTATTTTTAATTAATTTTATAAGCTTAATTATTTATATTAAAACTTTTTCGGAAAAAAAAATAAAACGTTATGTTTTGTATAACAGATATACAAAATTCGTGATTATAAAATAATAGCAAATTAGCAAGCTGTGCACAATTTACTGTTGAAAATATCCAAAGTTTTACTTGTATCGAATATCGATACAATGTAAACTTAGCATCGATATTTCAAAATATCGAAGTCTAAAATATCGATAGCTCAACTCAAAAATATTGATATTATGGAATATCGACGGTAATCGTCATCTCTATAATAAGCGCAAGTGAATATTAGAGATAAACAAAGCGTGTGTAAGACTAAAAGCTCTAAAGAAAATGAAATTGTCCAAATACATTCATTTAACGTATTCCCAAGAGAATTTAATAGACTTTTTAGTTGAGCATCATTTATTAGTAGCTACAATGAATTGTGATAATTGTAAAGAAATTATAGATTTAAATGAAGAAACACTACTATTTGTATGTAAAAAAAAAGCTAGTACTGAAAAAGAAAGTAATAAAAAAAGCCTAAATGCAATATGCAATTTTAAGAGAAGTGCCACAAAGGGAACATGGTTTGATAGGCTCGACACAAATCTGCAAATAATATGCAGACTCACAGCATATTTTGTTATGGTGCCACGTACACGGCAAAAATTTTTGCGTTATGAAACTGGTTTATCAGTACCTACAATTAATGAATGGATAAAATATTGTAGAGAGGTAATATGAATATATCTATAATTATAATGTGTAATAAATATGTACAATATAAATTATATTAATATGATAGGTATGTGTATACTGGGCGAAAAAGCGCAGTGAAAAGCTTGGAGGTCCAGGAATGACTGTCGAAATCGATGGAGCAAAAATTGGCCGAAGAAAAGGTTGTGATGTGACTAAAAAGATTAAGGGTGACTGGATATATGGTGGGTTCGAACGGGAAACGAGAAGGATTTTTATTGTACCAGTAGAAGTTGGAACGAAAGAATCATTGTTAAAAACGATAAAAGAATGGATAAATCCCGGAACAAGTATTGTTACGCATTTTTGGAAAGCTTACAATTGTCTTAACGACAAAAGCTTCAAAAGTCTGAAAAGAAAGCATTCATATAAGTTCATTGATCCCAAAACTGATAAAATAGCAGATGGTAAATATATAAATTTGAATTTCAATAATTACATCAAAGTATTACCGTATTTATTCTGATTTGTAGATACACATATTAGAGAGATTGAATCTTGCTGGAGAGAGGTTCGAGCACATATGCCAAGACCTGCGTCCTATTCTCTTCAGTGTTTCAGTGAATATCTTTTTAAACGCGTGAATGAATTAGATGTACGTATAGAAACGTTTTTTGATATTATTGCAGAAATGTATCCACCAAAACGTTGAATTGCAATATTACAAATGTTGCAGCAACATCATGAAATTATAGATTCCATGTCTTATAGATATTATAATTCAACATTGCTTTAACATTGATTTAATGTATATGCAATGTAGATTTAATTGATTCAATATTTATTCAACGTCCATTCAACATTTATTCAATGTGTAAGCAGAGATTAAATGTAGATTTAATGTCACATTAAGTACATTTCATATTTTCCAAAAAAATTAAATAAACCTATATGCAAAAATTAGTCTTCAAATTGTGAAAATAATTTAAGAAATAATATTGTTTTTTTTTATTATTTAAAATTGA